TTCTTACAGGAAAGGTCTTTCAGGGCGTGACAAGTTTTTGAAAACGGTCTTTTGCATGATATAGGGGCAGATGCGGGAACCACAGAACCATGTTCAATTTTTCCTGAACGGCCCTCTGAATACCAGAAAAGGAGGTCCTAGTTCGATTCCTCGTGGGTAACAAATTTTTGCATTTCGAGTTGACGTGCCAAAATTCGCGCAAAATGGAGTTAGAACCAACCAGAACAATCAGAACTCCATTTTGCGCGAATTTTGGAACGTCAACTCGAAATGCAAAAATTTGTCACCAAGAGGAATCGAACTAGGGACCCCCTTTTCTGGTATTCAGAGGGCCGTTCAGGAAAAATTAAACATGGTTCTGTGGTCCCGCATCTGCCCCTATATCATGCAAAAGACCGTTTTCAAAAAGCTTGTCACGCCCTGAAAGACCTTCCTGGTTAGCGTTAATATTTTTTGTGACTGAGGAACGAAGAGCCACAGTTGAAAATCTTTCCTCCAGTCATGTCATGCACTAGTTTTCGAACCATGTTGCGGTAGCGACGATCTCAGTCTCTACAACCACTTTGATCCCATTTACAGACTAATGCGGAAATGCTACAATATTCTTGCAGAATCATTCTTGCCAAGGCACTATTTCACATATTTCTTCTCCAGCGTCGTCATCTCTTCCACACGCAATAGCTCTTTTATAGAGCTATACTTTATAACAGTTACCGCGTATTTTTTAGTTTTACTTCTTCCTTTTACTTCTTTTTTCTTTCCTTGTCTCCTTCAGCGTCGTTTTTTTGTGTAATTGTAGTTTGCGCAAACATTCATTTTTAGGGTTACCTTGCTCAGCAGCCATGCCTGCCTCTGCTGAAAGCTCGAGTAGTAATGGCAGTTTAGTCGAAGTATTGGATGTAAGCCATTGTAGTTTGCAGGAGCCTAGTAGCTCTGAGCCATCAGTGTGTGAGCTGAGCGAGTCTAGTAGCTCCACCTCTAGTTTGAATTCGCAAATGTAGGTCTTGTCTCTAAGTCTGATATAAGTTCTGCTTTTTTCTAGAGAGCTCTTTTTTCCAAAAAGTACTTTTTTCAGACTGTCATGGAAACGCGGAGCATGGAGCTTGGAAGACTCGGTAATAGCGGACCCACCTTGGTACATTTCGTTCATGGTGAAATTCTCTTGTGCTTTGATGTTCCTTGCTGGTATGTTTGCGGATTGGCTGCGAATGCGAGGTATTATCAAGGTGTCTGTGGCGACGGATGATCCAAGGCACAAGGTATTATTTCTATCGTTTTTAAAATAGTTCTTGTCTGACCACCTTTTGGTGTGCCCTGATTCTACCCTGTTGCTTGGCGCATGTTGCATATATTTGTAACATGCCCATGAAGCTTAGTGTTTATTGCCGTAAGAAATTTGCTTATAAGTTCAGTGCTCTTGAGAATCTAACAATTCCAAATAGCGTGCGTTGTCTGCGGCTTCATGCGAAGGACCACTTCGTTTTCCCTCCATTCTGCTTCGAAGCCTCTTGATCTCTTTTCATCACTGTAGAATATCACTTATCATTTGAACGCTAAAACTGCATGTGTGCAAAGTGTGCTATCTTGGTGAGTAAGGTAGGGGATATAAAGGTGAACCCATTTTTTATGCGTTGCCTATGATTGTCTATTGTCTCAAAAGCCGTTTCTCCCAGTGTGTTAATTTTTCAACTGTTGTACTGCTGAGCAAGAATGTTACAAAGCTGTTGTTGTAATTATTTTTCAATTGTTCAGGGTTTTGCACCGTTGGATGATCACTTGGAGGCCGTTTACATCAATCATATATATCGAAAATCAAGTGATGTAGTGAATCGGCCGATTGCTAGCGTTCCAGCTAGCGTAATGCTATTAAAGGATAGGTACACCGACGACTATGGGTGGACACAGAAGTGAGTTTGTCATTATAACGTTTTCGCTTTTTTGCCAGTATTTGCTCGATTGCTTCAAAGTCTGCGTTTTGCCAGATTTATCGGTCTTTGTCTTTATGTTCATTGTTCATTTTGAAGAATTGGCCAGTTTTGCAAGAGTATCGAGCTAAACATGTAGTGTCTTATCTCCAGAAAAATAGTTTTCCCTAGACATAATATCATTTATTACATCCTCAGTTGTCCTTTCCGTTCATAAAAATGTTTCATCGGCGTTTTTTGGGCTTTTCTTTTGCAAACAAAGCATACTTTTATAGCTAAATAGGCTCTTTTTCACGATCGGTTCGCGGCTACGATGCCGTCAGAGTCAAGGTAGCAGCTCGATTTTCAAGTAAATGCTCCTACCCTTTCGACTTTTATTACCTATAGTAGGGATCATACTCAAGACAAGCAGAGGTAAAAACGGAGTGAGAGAATGTAATGAGTAGATATGATTCTTCCAAAAATGAGTTAATAAGCAATAACCTTGTACGGTATACCTGACGTACATTGTTGGCCAGTGACAGGAGTTATCCAGTCAGTCAAGTTGGAAATACGGCCTCAACACATTGTTACCTGAAGAAAAATTTTTTTCGAGGTCGCTTATCTAATTCGGTATCCGTAATTTGAGACCTACTCAAGTAGTTAAGTTCGTCCTCATAGTCCTATCTTGATTTTCCAGAAGCGGTTTTGTAGCAACGAAGAGGTTGAAAGATAGCTAATCCTGTTTACTGATTTCAAAAAGCAAACAACTTGTTTATACTTACTTATACTTGTAATTAGAAGGTTTTAAGCAAGCAAATAGAAGGCCTTACTCAGTTTTTTTTAGATATACAGGAACGATATCGGAAGTTATCAATATGGGGTCTTATAACTATCTCGGATTCTCTCACAATGATGGCCCTTGTGCTGAAGAAGCGGCTCGATACATCGACAAATACGGCCTTCATATTGGTAGTACCAGGCATGAACGAGGCAATTTTCATAGTTTATTTATGGTCTTATGGCTTTTCCAGACCAACATCTTAAGGAGAACTAGTCGCTTCAGGAAACCATGTGGTTCAAGCCGAGATTGAAAAATGTGTAGCTCACTTATCTCGGAGTTGATGCGGCCATTTGTTTTCCGATGGGCTTTGGCACAAATTCAATGAATATTCCTTCCCTTGTGGACAAGGTATTTTAGTTTATTTTACATCTTGAAATATACTGAGTTTGAGCTCTGTTCAGGGGTCACTAATTCTCAGTGACGAATTGAACCACGCCTCTCTCGTTCTCGGATGTCGAGTCTCTGGCGCAACTGTGAAAGTTTTCAAGCATAACAGTAAGTGAGCCTTTTTAATCCATTCATTGCATTCTTTACTGAAACTCACAGACTTTCCTGGCCTCCAAGAAGTTTTAGTTTTATTTGTACTTTTTTCGGTTTTAGTGCCATGGATTGCGAAAAACATCTACGGAATGCTCTGTGTCATCCTAGTCCGAAAACTGGAAAGCCATTCAACAAAGTTCTTATTGTGATAGAAGGGATATACAGGTGAATTTTCCGGATTTTTCAGATTGGCACATCATTCAAAATTGTATAGATACAGTTAATTCGTTTTTGAGATCACAGTTATGCACCATTTCTTACAGTACTGCTTCTTAGAGAAGCGAGTTTTTTTTTGAGAAGTGGCAATAGAAGCGCGCGACATGTGAGAGTTCACATTTGATGCTGTGCACGTAATATATCTACTTTTGCCAGTTAGCAGGTGATCGAATCTCCATCATAATAAAGCGTGGCGGTGCGGTTTTAGCCCTCTCTGCCTTTGTTGAACTTCGTTCCCTAGGAAAGAACTCCTCCTCCGTTAAACAAAATGCGCGGTTCCAATGGCCGCGTATACTGTCAGGCTGACTGATTGATGTAACAGTGCCAGTTGTTGCTATGTCCTTTCCGTAAAATTGAATAAGTGGACTGTAGGTGTGGCTCTCACAACCAACGCAAGAATCTGGTTTCTGTATTTTCTGTAGAAGGTAGCGGTGAATTGTCCTATGGATTCTCTTTGCAGACGGCAGCCTCTTAGTGCTTCATTTTCGACCATTGTATTCATAATTTCTAGAGCATAAAGTTCTTCTATAGTATAACTGCCAAAATAGAATCTGCGTGATATTCTTACTCTCATTATAAAAATAAACCATAGGAATCGCTTTCTCGTAGAATCTAAGAATACTTTTGCAGTATGGAAGGCACAATCGTGAACTTGCCGGAATTCATCCGCATCAAGAAGAAATACAATGCCTACTTATTCTTAGATGAAGCTCATAGCGTTGGTATGGTATTTGATTGACATTATTTTGGGTGTTTTGATTTTGCTTCAAGAAAAAGGACTTTTCTTTAAACTAGAAGGTGTTTAGGTGCCCTCGGACCAACAGGCAAAGGTGTCGTGGAATACTGGGGTTGCAATGCACGGGATGTTGACGTACTGATGGGAACACTGACCAAGAGTTTTGCGGCAGCCGGAGGTTACATGGGTGGTACGAAAGTGAATGTTTGCCTTATTCCTTCTTCTCCTGAGAAATCATTTTGAGAAGTGGCATGCTCCAAGGTAGACATTTCAGGCTGTAATTGATCATATTCGTCGTAATTCAGCGGGTCCTTGTTATGGAGCACCGATGTCTCCTCCAATAATTGCTCAAGTTTTGAGCAGTATGAAGGTATGTGGCGCTCCGACATCGTCGGGTGAATTCTTACGTTTCACGAGTTTTTTCTTTTCATGGAAGCATTTAAGCTTTTAAATGTTTAAATTTGGCTGATCAAGCTATCGTACGCATTTCTCGAATGATCAGTGACTAGAACAGGGTACGATTCTAACCATACCAGCTTCGGCTCACCCTCGCCCGTTGTGAGGATTTGTCCTCTTTACCGTCGCTACCCTGTGATGCATTTTCCTTTTTTCTGAATCTCTATGCTGTTTTAGAATCGATAGTGAGATTTTTTTGAAGAGCAATGTCATCTTGAGTGCGCAGTTCGCTCACTGCTGTCCGATCTCCTCATAAATCAGTCAGTCGTGCCCATCGTCTTGGACCCTGCTCGATCCACCAATCGTTTCTTGTTGTGGTCGGCTCAGCTCATGTGTGCTCTGTACATATTAGCTGTGGACTTTATGGGTTTAGATTTAGTACAATTCGCAATAAAGGTCCATCAAGCTAACTAATTTATCCGTTTTTATTTTATCATAAAACGGCATTTGTACGGTTACGCTCGACTTTACATTCATATGTTCTAACGATGCAAGGGTCGCTCTGGGCATTGGTATCAGGCTTGAGGCATCCCACAATGTTTCGAGTGAGAAAAATACCGCAGTCGTGGATGTAAATGTTCAAACAGCGTTCCATAAATCCCTTTTTTGAATTCGCAATAATTTAGGTGATGTGCGGTGAAGATGGAACTGACATTGGTGCTCGAAAAGCTGTTCAACTACTTAGAAACTCACGATATTTCCGTCGGCGGCTGAAAGAGATGGGATTCCTCATTTATGGCCATGAAGACAGCCCTGTTGTGCCATTAATGACATTTTATATAACAAAAGTAGTGTGAGTAGTTCTCTTTATAAAATAGCGGCAGATGTTTACTTGCTGAAACTAAGTAATTAGGGGGGGGGGGGCTAGATGATGGTAGTAATGGAACCAAATGAAGAGTATTCGATTTGGCAGCATGATGAGCCTGCTCTGTGAGAGCTCGGTACCTAGTGTCTATCAAGGCAGGTGTCAGACCGCGCGATTCGATAGCACTGGTCGCAAAGTCTGATGCCTGCTTAAGGACCAGCTCGTTGGTCAACACTACATGAGGATTAGCATTATCTTTATCACCGGCCGTTTCAGAGAATTTTCACGTCGCACACTCAAGTATGGTATAGGGCTCGTGGCAGTGGGATTTCCGGCCACTCCCTTGACGAAAGCGCGAGTTCGGTTTTGTTTGAGTGCGGATCACACCAAAGAACAGCTGGATTATGTAAGGTTTTCATCATTTTTTTCGATTTTCCGGTCTTGTCCAGTCATCGCAAGATAATGCCGTTTTTCCCTGTGCTTGGCACATGATCGCTTTACACGAGCTAAAAAGGTGATAAGGAGGTTCCGCTTCATCACAGCTATTAATTTAGAAAATTTCAATTGAACAAAAGAGATAGCTCTAAAAATGACCATTGGAGTCAAAGATTTGTGGTTCGAATATTTATCCAATCCTGGAATTCTGAATTTCGCGATTCTTGAGACTGTGCAGAAATCCTCTATGGTGTTAATGTGAACCTTACGCCTTCCTTGAAGGCAGCGATTACGATAGGTTCTAGAGGGGTTTACAGGGGACGTGGGGGTGCTCAATGGTACGCCAATGGCGAAAAAAGCAGAGAAATCCGTCAAGAAACGCAAAATAGGACCTCCCCTTGTGTGGGCCGTTAATTTTCACTCATGTGGGCAGCGGCTCAGAAAGCGGGCGTATGGACGAGTTCACCGCAACGCGTTTGGTGACACCATGCCAATCCATGCTCCAGTCGAGTTGCTCCAGTTGTGCCGCTGCTGGCAACGCAGCTCGTCCAAATCACCAAGTGAAACTA